AAATTTAAAATAGTTGCTGTCAATCATTCTTATTAACCACAGGATGTAATAAATTAATTTCTTTCCTACACACCTAGATTTAGTAGAATGTCACTGCTATGGTTTTGTTTGTTTTTGTTTTTACGTCTTTCGAGACAGGGTCTCACTATGCAGTTCAGGTTGGCCTGGGTTACGCAGCCCACGCTGGTGTTGAACTTGTGGCAATCTTCCCGCCTCAGCCTCCGAGTGCTGGGATTACAGGCATGAGCCACCATGCCCAGCCTGTCACTAGCTATGTAACTTAAAAAATGTTCTATGTTCTGTCATTCAACTGAAGAACTCTAGCTGAGATTTTGTTAAGTGCCAGGGGTACAGCTCAGTGAAAAAGCACTTCTCTCACATGTGTGAGGCCCTGGGTTCAATCTGCTACACACACCAAAATGTACAAGGTAAACAAAAGTCTAAATACACACTTGTAGCTGCACCCCTTTCTTATCTTCATTTTCCACATGCAGACGAATTCGGCCAAATTTGTCATCTGAGATCCTAAGCATGATCATGCCATGCAACTCCATATTCTGTAGTCCTCCATCTCGTCCACAGGTTAGTGTGATCTTTTCTTCAATCTTCATATGCACACTATAAAAAAGTAAAGTTTGTTTTGAAGGTAGAAACCAGAATTCCCTTTTCCTAGGGTATAATGGTGATCAGCTATCAACAATTTTTTTTAGAGGTGCTGGTGCTATGAAACTTAAAGCATTACACTCTGATGCAGCCATTCTCTAGAATTCACCCTCAGTTCTCATCTGTGACAACAATGTACCAAATTATTCACTGAACAACTGTTTGTAATAGCAAGTTAGGCTGCTCACATGTACAAAGGTATGTCCACACAAATGAATACTAGACAGCTGTGAGAAAACTTTCTATTTAAAAATATCAAACTTAAAAAAGTAAAAATTATACAAAGAATACACATAGGTTATTCTATAACCACAGTACCATTATAAACCTCATAAATTTACATTAATATTATACTTCTATCTGATCTACCAACCATGTGCCAGTTTTTTCAGTTCATCTAATAAGGTCTTATACTAGTACAGAATCCAATTTAGAGTAAGGTATTACTTTTTTATTTTTCTTTTTGCACTTTTGGGGATTGAATCCAGGGTCTTCTCATGGAGCTACCTCCCCATCCTTTTCTTATTCTGAGACAGGGTCTCACTAAGTTGCTAAGTTGCCCAGGCTGGGCTCAAGTTTATGACCATCCTACCCAAGCCTCCCAGGGTACAGGGATTATAGGCATGTACTACAACACTTGGTTAAGGTTAAGGTATTACATTTAGATAGAAGTCATGTCTCTATAGCTTCAAATAAGGAATTTCTCCTCCTCCTCCTCTTCTGTGTGGTACTGGGGATTGAACCTAGGGCCTTGTGCAAGCTAAGCAGGCACTCTGAGCTGAGCTACCCTCCAGCACTTAAATGGGAGAACTGCCTCTAAATTGAGGGAAAGGAAGAGATGGAGGGATGGGGAGAAGGGGAGGAGGAGTAAAAAGAATGAAGATGTGTTACATGTATGTACCAACTCTCCATGATGAACGTATTCACTATGTACTGCAAATAAGTACTAATAAGAATTTTAAAAATTAAACCAAAAAGAAATAACAGAATGTATCTAGTAGGCTACTTTGTATAAAAAAAAATTAATAGCTAAAGGCTCAATCCCTAGTACTACCAAAAAAAAAAAAAAAAGGTCTTACTCATCCATACATTATAAACTATCCCCTCGAAAGGATACACACCAAAAAACTATTTAATATGGACTCCACAACTAAAACCTTGCATGACTAGGTGGAAGGTTTTTTGTAGTAATGCATTTTGAACCTTTTAATTTTATACTGTGAGGATACAGAACAAGGAAAAATGCAAAATAGTGCTGCCACTCTGAGTAATTATAATCTACCCATAATCTGTAATAGAACTTTTTTTTGGTCTTTTTGAGATAGGGTTTCAGGCTAGCCTTAACCCTATTATAAGCCAGGCATGGTGGCGCATGCAGTAATCGCAGCACTCGGGAGGCTGAGGCAGGAGGATCGTTGCCAGTTCGAGACCAACCTGGGCTACAAAGTGAGCTTGAGGTCAGCCTGAATCACATGACAAGACCCTGTCTCAAAAAAGACAGGACAGCCTTGAACTCAACTCACTTTGTAGCCCAGGCTGGACTCAAACTTGCAGTGATCCTCCTGCAAGTTTAGCCTCCCAAGTGCTGCGATTACAGGCCTGTGCCACCATGCCTGGCTTGTGACAGAATTTTTTTTTTAGTACCGGGAATCAAACTCAGGACCTAAATACTTGCCAGGCAGGTGCTTGTGCTGCTGAGCTATATCCCCAACCCTAGAACTTTTCTAAAAAAATGGAACTATTTTTATTTGGGTAGACCACAGAGGCTACAAAGAATATCTGGTCTCTCACTTCATTCACTCTCTATTCTAATTTAAGTCTCCACAGAAGCAAACAGATCAGACTCAAGACCATTAACAACTATTTTAAGGCAACGCATGTCCTATTTTAACTTCATGAAAGTTTTCTCTATGTTCAAGAGGTACCTCATTTAGTCAAGTTTTAAAATGTAAGGGTCTTTAACATCTGCTTAAAATATGAAGCTTCTATCTCACTAAAAGCAACCACTAGGAATAGCACAGGCACTTTAGCTGAGTCAAGGTATTTATCCAGATGTAACTGTGTACTTCACACGGAACAGGACACATAAAGAGTAAACACTATCCTTTTATGCACACCCGATAGAGGTATCGCCCCAGACTCATCTTTCACTTGACCTCAGTCATCAGACAGAGAAGAAGGCCTGGGCTTCAAGATAGGAAATCTGAGTCATGAATATGTGAACTTGATTACCACTCAAAAACGTCACCAACCAATGCCTCAGCCCTGAGATATGAGATATTGGGCTCAAACACTTAAAAATTTGCTATTTAAGTTAATTTGCAATTAAAGATATTTACAAAGTGGTTTACAATTTGTCTCATAGTTTAATTAGAAAAAGACATTATAAAAGACAAAATGTAGTGTGGCGCTATCAAGCTCTAGTCTTCTAATCCAAGTGAATGTTAAGAGAGAAGCTTTAAAGATATTTCATTTCCATGCCCTACCCAAGTGAGACAAGCTACACACTAGGTAGGCAGGCAAGTTATTTTTGTTTAATTTAGCCAATATAAGTTCTAAACTTCATAAACAGATGGCTGAGAACACCCAATTGTGGCTAAGTAACAGGAAAAAAAGACCTTATGCTATTAACTAGAATATGCTCTGAATAAAGCTTTTAAATCAGGAAAGATTAAAAGGTACAGAAAATGGAGCGGAGATAATAGCTCAGTGGCAGATCATGTGCTCAGCTTGCCCAAGGCCCTGGGTTTGATCTCCAGCACAAAATAAACACTACTAAAAAAAGAATTTGTGCAATTGAAAGAAAATTTTTTAAAAATTGTATGGTCCGTCCTTACCAAAAAACTTACCACTTACCTCTCCATATTAATAGGTGGAGCATGAACTTTGGTTGTCTCAGAGGTACGCTTGCCCGTATTAGAGGACATGATAGTTTCACCTTCAGATTTCAATTTGTCCACAAAGTTATCTACTTCCTTTCCTTTGGCTCCAAGTTTCAAAGCCTTGCTGGGGCCTGAAGGCCTATGTGGAAGAATACAAAATTTTAGAAATTCACAATTAAACAAAATGCCCAGAACATTTATTACTGACCCCATTTCAAAGAACCTTTCCCTGAAACTACTTTTTTTTTTTCTTTCTTTTTTTTGGTACCAGGAATCAAACTCATGACCTCAGGCTTGCCAAGTAAGCGCTTATGCCACTGAGCTGTATCCCTGGCCTGAAACTATTCTTAAAGAGGAATATGAAGATAACAAGGGGAAAACCCAAGCTTTCTAGTATTGGTGAACAACTAGGCTACTGAAGCCCTAATAGCAACCTGTCATTCTTTTTTTTTTTTTTTTTTTTTTTTTTTTTTTTCCGGTACCGGGAACCGAACTCACGACCTTGCGCTTGCCAGGCAGGCGCTTTGCCGCTGAGCTAAATCCCCAGCCCCAGCAACCTGTCATTCTTAATATGTAAGCTTCGAGAACCCAAAGATCAAAGGTACACCTTTACAGTTGCACATGATATGATGAAAACTCTGTACCTTCCATCTAGATAAATGTAATTGAACAAACAAAATTGTGTATATTATTTGAGGCAGTTCAGATTCCCCTTGAACATTAAGATTTAAAAATCCATACTCGCCAGACGTGGTAGTGCACGACTATAATCCCAACACTCTACAGGCTAAGGCAGGAGGACTGCTACAAGTTCAAAACCAGCTTGGGCTACATAGTGAGTTCTGCAGAGTGAGATGCTGTCTCAAAAATAAATAAATAAATAAATAAATCCATATCCCATGAACAATTAAATATTTCGTCACTTTCCCAAATGAGGCAACTCTCATAGGAAACTGAGGTCATGGCATAATTTATAAAAGAACTCTCTTGGGCCGGGAAAATACCTCAGCAGCATTAGCACTTGCCTGGCAAGCCTGAGGTCATGAGAGTTTGATTCCTGGTACCAATAAATAAATAAATAAATAAACTCTTCTTATGCAAAAGGAAAAACACCACATTCAGATATGCACCCCACCCCTTTTGAGAGAGGGCCCCCCTAAATTGCCCAGGTAGGACTAGTGATCCTCCTGCCTCAGCCTCCTAAGGACTGTAATTATGGATAAGAGCCACAACTGCCTCCATCCTCCCACTTTTTGGGGGTGGGGGACTACTACAGATTGAACCAGGGTCTTTGTACTGGGCTACATTCCCAGCCCTTTTTTATTTTGAGACAGGATTTCACTAAGTCACTAAAATGCCCAGGCAGGGCTCCAACTTGCAATCCTACCTCAGCCTCCCAGACGGCTGGGATTACAGACATGCAACCACCACATAGAAAGCTTCCCAGCTCTTTATCTCTTTTTTTGGTTTATTGAAACAGGGTCTTACTAGAGTTTAGGGTGGCCTTGAACTTGCAGTGATCCTCCCACCTCAGCTTCCCAAGTTACCAGTGTGTATCACCATGCCTAGCTCCAGGTCTTTTTATTTTGAGACAGGGTCTCACTAAATTGCCCAGGCAAGACTCAAAATTGTGATCCTCCTACCTTAGCTACCCAGATAGTGGGGTTACCAGTGTGTATCACCACAGCTGCCTCAGCCCTGTATCTTAAACAGCCAAATTTATCATCAGACCTGACCCTTCACCAAGTCACTCATTATTTACAGTTTGCCTAAAAGTCAGATATCACTCCAAAGATCCACACATATAGCCTTCCTCTGGTATCCTAGGGTTGCTGGTAAAACACTGGATTATACCTGGCTGGTGCAGGTGCCACTTTTGGCTTATCCGTTTCAATGATGGTCTCTGTGATCATGGCAGCTGTGCTGCCTCCAGAAACTGCAGAGCTACCAAATCCCCCAAATCCTGGTGCTTTTTTGCCCTGTCTCTCTGCATCTCTTCGGGCCTGCTGTAATTCTTTTGCTTTACGCCGCATCTCAGCCTTAGCTTCACGTTCTTGAGTCTACAGAAAGACACATACATGGACGTGGCTTTGAGTACAGTCTACATTAGCAAGTAAAAACAGGAAAATCAATTACTGAAGGACAAGAGAAAGACGTTCCAGCTGCCAGTCCCAGAAAAGACCCCATTTACCTCTCTGACTGCTCTGAATACTTTCTCCTCATGAGAATCCATTTCTGTGAAGGTTCTGATCTGCGCCAGGTTAACATTCTCCCGATATCCCAAGGCAACGATTTCATCAAAAGCAAAAATCAAATCAAAACAGTGCTCAGATATTTCATTCTCTTCTAAGGCTCGGCAATATTCAGGAATCTATCCATAGACAGCAATGGAAAAGAGGTTTTAGAATGTATCAGCAGCTATGTTTCCAAATCTTATCCTTTAAACTACATAAATTTCAGTAAAATGAAATTCCCCCCCTTTTTAAGCTCCTCCTAGTATGTATAAATGTATCTATTTATTTATTTTTGAGAGAGGGTCTTGCTAGGTACTTTACACTGGCCTTTACTATGTAGGCCAGGCTGGCCTCGAACTTGCGGCAATCCTGGTTCAGCCTCCCAAGCATTGAGACTACAAGCATGCACTATTGCCCAGCTAGTCTTTTAAGCCAGACTTTGACATAAGATCTTTGTGTTTTTGTGTCTGTATCTTTAAGTCTTGTCTAAAAAATATGACCAAACAAGTTTCAGGACTACAAAGGCAAATTAGAGTAACTAAAGAAATGGGGCCAGGCACGGTGGTGCACGCCTGTAATCCCAGCACTCAAGAGGCTGAGGCAGGAGGATTGTTGCGAGTTTCAGGCCACCCTGGGCTACAAAGCGAGCTCAAAGCCAGCCTGAACTGCATAGGCAAGACCCTGTCTCAAAAAAACAGGGGGAAAAAAAAAAAAAAAAAAAAGGATATGAAAAAGTAATTCCTCTATTCTCTTTTAGGGTACTCTAAGACAGGACCCTATTATGTGTCTGCTGAATAAATAAGCTGCAGAAATAGGCTACAGAGCATGAAAAGTGACAAAGATCAGCTCCTTTGAAGGAAAAAATAGTTTCACACACAAAAACATGTAAAACAATAAAAAGCAGAACCCATTACAGAAAGACACTTACCACTCTTGAGAAGAGCCTTAAGGTCTCCAAATCCTCTAAAATGTTGCTGTTTTTGGTAGTGATCAGTACCATGTACAGTTTCTCCATAGGCTGGTAGACATATCTTACACTCTCTGTTTCAACAAATGTATGTTGTTTTCCAGTGTTCATGAGCTTTGGGAAAGCTGCTAATAAACCCTCAATCCGGGTTCGGGTCATTTCCACAAACTGTCGCGAAACAATAGCTTTTCCTGCTTTCGTGCAGACTGCTGCTGCCAACAGCACCTGCCAGAAACACACACACAAATAAGTACTAATCAACTACCTCTTCACAGCTGTTTTCTCAACATCTTAGGACATCTTCCCCACTGACATATTCAGGTATTTATGGACATGACTGCTATGAAAATGTTTTCAAATTCTACTTCATTGCTTCTTTAATTATAATATGTAATTCATAAGACAAACCTAAAGTAGTGAAACCTGAAGTCATTTTTTCCTATTTCTCAATAACTTACCTAAAGAAAAACTTAGTTAAAAAAAAAAAACAAACATTTTTTTTTTCCACGTCTACACATTCATTATTAGTGGGTATGCTGTGACTCAGGAATGGGTTGCTCTCTGCTTTGACATACCCATAAAGACTACTTTAATTTTTCTCTAAAAAGTTCAGAGATTTCCACAGCAAAACAAGTTGATTAGGCAGATTAAAGTTATGTAAGATTCCCCTTAGCCTTTCCTTTTCGCCTAATTTTAAAAATAATAAATAAATAAAGGGTTGCTGACTGGAGAAAAGAAAGTAAGTACAGTGCTAACATCTCTTTAGTGAAGGAATCCAAGAGTTCATAAGTAAAAAGGAAAAAACTCCAAACTATACATTTGGGAAGCTTTAGGCTAGGATATACCCTCTCAAGTATCAAAATCCCTTGGCCAGGCTTCTCAATTTTACAGAAACCTATCCACTACAGGTGAAAAATTTGAAGAAAAAAAAGTCAACATAAATAAATTCTTATAAATATGTTAATATGGTTTTATACAAATTATAGGGGAATACAATGCCTTTACCATTCCAGAATAGGTAACTGAAGGCCAGGTGTGGTGATGCACGCCTGTAATCCCAGCACTTGGGAGGCTGAGGACAGCCTAAACTACATAGTGAGACCCTGTCTGCAAAAAAAAAAAAAAAAAAAAAAAAAAGAAATGATGGCTATCGTGCTTGTTTCCAAGGAGCAAAGAGTACTGATAAACACAATTTATACTGGAAAGTGTTTAATCTGCACCTTGCATAAATACTTTTTCCTTATTCAACACATTTTTATTTTTACTGATTCTCTTCAAATGAACATAGAACAACCCAAGTTTAGAAAGAAGTAGACTCAGCTGGGCATGGTGGCATACACCTGTAATCCCAGCACTCAGGAGGCTGGCCCAGGAGGACCATGGTGAGTCTGAGGCCAGCCTGGGCTACATACTGAGTTCAAGGCCAACCTAAACTCCAAAGCAAGACCCTGTCTCAAAAGAAAGAAGTACACGTAAGGAAATAATACAATTCTGCTTCTGTTTTCTCATTCTATCAACTCTACATTGAACCTGCCTCAACCTCTCAAAGTCCTGGGATTACAGGAGTATGCCATTGTGCATGGACTTAAACTTACTTTAATGCTGTATATCATTAGCCACAGTTTTTAAAATGTAGTTGCTAGGGCTGGGTGTGGTGGCGCAAGCCTGTAATTCCAGTACTTGGGAGGTTGAGGCACGAGGATCACTGTTCAAGTTCAAGGCCAGCCTCGGCTACAAAATGAGTCCAAGGCCAGCCTGAACTGCACAGGGAGACCTTGTCTCAAACAGCCCCAAAAAATAGTAGTTGCAGGCATAGCAATACACAGGAGGCTGGCTGAGGCAGGAAAATTGCTTGAGCCCAGGAAGAATTCAGGCCAGTCTAGGCAACAGAAAAAGACTCCATCTCCAGAAAAAAAAAAAAAAAAAAAAAGCAGCTCCTAAATCAGAAATAAAAAGGAAGTATTATACACTTGGTCTTTTTAAAAAGATCTGAGAATATTTTAGACATACAAAGAAACAGATAACCTAAAAACTACCAGTTGATTAGCCCTAGAGTGGCAAATAAGCTATCTTAGAAACCTTAAAATAGTCACTTTTTTCTATACTTATAATGTTAAATAGTCTCGAACTTAAAAAAAATCTATCTTTCACCATTACTACTACTTGGAAGTTTTTACCATCACCCCGATATGAGGCAAGAAGATATACTGAGGACATGAAAAGATTCCAGAGAAAGTATAAAAATATAAAACTTATGACCCATATTTCCCAAAAGAAATTCTTTATGTCTTTGACTTTAACAGTGTGAGATAAAGATTTCTTCAAATAAGGTCAAAGTCACCATAATTTTTAGTATACAAATAATGATGTTACCTTAATCACAAGTTGATCTAAAATTATCACCAGACTTGAGTTTTATTTAGAAGATGCAAAGTAAATGTACTTAAGAAATTTATTAAAGCAGGAGAACTACAAGTTTGAGGCATGCCTGGGCCATACAGCAAGTTCAAGGCTGGTGTAAACTATGTAACAAGACCCCGTCTCTCTCTAAAGACAAAAAAGAAGTTTGTTTTCACATTAACTTTTAATCCTAGGAGGTTCATGTTTCCACCATCTACATGTCTGGCAAAAATAAATACATAAATAAAATGCGGTAGCTGCTTCAGCTCCCTATGACAAGCAGGTAAACCTCTACAGTGATTCACTAAAGGTTTATATGCCATATATGTCCAAATATAAGGTAGATTTTTGCTCCAAAATTATTCCTCAGAAGAGCTGTGCCACACAAAAACATGTCCATGAGCTGTATGTGGTGGCACATGCCTTTTTTTTTTCTGATGTGGCACATCCCTATAATCCCAGCATTGTTAGGGACAGGCATTTCCTTCAACTTCAAACTGTTAGTCTTGTGTGTACTAATAAAAGATCACCGCATTTACTAACAATCCTAACAATCAACTCACTATTTTATATGCTGGATCTCAGCAGAGCCGGGCATGGTGGTGCATGCCTTAATCCCAGCACTCAGGAGGCTAAGGCAGGAGGATCACTGTAAGTTCAAGACCAGCCTAGGCTATAAAGTGAGTTCAAGGCCAGCCTGAACTGCATAGTGAGGCCCTGTCTCTAAATAAATAAATATATAGATAGATAGATAGATAGATAAATAAATAAATTCAACTGTCCAGCTGGGCATGCTGGTTCACACCTGTAATGCCAATGCTCAGGAGGATGAGGCAGGACTGCTACAAGTTTGAGGGCCTGTTGCAAATACATACTGAGTTCAAGGCCAGCCTGAATTACGGAGGGAGACCCTGTCTAAAAAAACACAAAAATCAACTGTCCTGCCAGACATGGTGGTGCATGCCTATAATCCCAGAATTTGGGAGGCTGAGGTGGGAAGATCACTTTTAGTCCAGCCCAGCTTACATAGTGAGTTCAAGGCCAGCCTGAGCTATATAGCAAAACTGTCTCAAAATAAATTCTTATCAAGAAAATAGGAAATTCCCTTACACTTGAGATTACTCCACACTAGTTGCTTCTTCTCCAAGACTAACTGAATTAAAAACTGTGTCCTAAAGTTGCAAAGACCCAAACTCACACACACACACACACACACATAAAAAAGAGAAGTCAAAAAATCTGTACTCTAGTTTTTGTTCTTCTACATACAACCTGTCTGACTTTAAGTTATTTAACTTCTCTTAGCCTCAGTTTTTCTTATAACATGCAGCATCATCTGATCACCTCACAAACCATTATGAAGGCCAAATGACAATGAAACTGTAACCCAGAGCACTATGAAATACTAAACATGTATCCACTGAAATAACTGATACCACTTTAAAGCAATGGGCTTTTACATTTACTACTTTTTTTTTAGACAAAATATCAGTATGTGGTTCAGGCTGGCCTCAAACTCACTATGCAGTCCAGGCTGGCCTCAAACTCGCAGCAATCCTCCTGCCTCAGCTTCTCTCATCCTAGGATTACAGGCGTCAGCCACAATCCCTGGCTGGACTTTTATAGGTTTGCCATTAATATTCAAATAACAGATGTTGATTCTCTTCCTAAAAAGTTTTACACACAAATTTGGGGAATTCATAGATCCTCCAGAATACCAATTTTCATATGGCCCATAAAGAATCACTCTACAGCAGTAAGAAATATCAATAAGTGCGTGTATATATAAATGTAATGCCTTAGCCAGGCACAGTGACCCATGTCGTTAATCCCAGCACTTTGGGAGGCAGAGGCAGGAAGATCTAAAGTTTGAGCTCAGGCTAAGCAACTCAGTGACTTAGACCGTTTCAAAAATAAATAGAGCTGGAGATGTAGTTCAATGTGCCTTGGTTCAGTTCTCAGTACTGCCAGTAAGATAGGTAGGTAAGTAGATACGGACAGACAGATGTAATCTCTTTATAGCTCCACATACCCCAAAAGGTTGAAAATCCTATCGTAGTGCTGGATATTGTAGTCCCCTATAGTAGAATTTTATACAGTTTGGGTAAGAGGAGTCAAAAGAGAAGTAAAAAAATTAAGATGCAATATGTATATGTACCAACTCCTCATGGTGAATGTACGAACTATGTGTTGCAAACATACTAATAAAAACTGCGGGAAAAAGAATTTTACTGGGCAGGGCATGGTGGCACATGTCTGTAATCTTAGGATTGCTGTGAGTTCGAGACCAGCCTGGGCTACAAAGTGAGTTCAACGCCAGCCTGAACTACATAGTGAGACCCTGTCTCAAAAGACAAAAAAAACCCAACCAACCAACCAAACATTAAAACCTTGCAAAGTTTTTTTTTTCTTATGAAGTTTTAAAAGCTGGGTGTGGCAGCATATACCTGTTATCCCAGCATTTAGGAGACTGAGGCAGGAGGATCTTACTGAGTTTGAGGCCAGACTGAGCCATGTAGTGAGTTCAAGGTTAGTCTGAACTACACAGTAAGACCCTATCTCATAAAAACCCGATAAATGGGGCTGGGGATTTAGCTCAGCGGCAAAAGCGCCTGCCTGGCAAGCACAAGGTCATGAGTTCGGTTCCCGGTACCGGAGAAAAACCAAAAAAAAAAACAAAAAAAACCCCCCAAAAAACAAAAAAAAACAAAAAAAAAACCAAAAACCCAATAAATAAAGTTTTGAAGATATAAGTAAAGATACATCAAATGTATGTTCTAGAGCAGGACTACAACTCTGGACCTATAAAAGTACGTGATATTTAA